GCGACCAAACTATTGTAAGTCAAGAACTTCCTCCCGTCTCCAAGGTCATTCTCGCACACCGTTACACCACCCTAACCAACGTGACAGCAGAGAAATAAGAAAGTTGTGGCCAATATCTCTGAAAAACATGGGAAAAAAAATATGTTTTTTTTCCCTCTCTGGCGCATAGAGAATTGTAATTTGGCAGCAACTTTGGTAGACTTCTGTTGGGTTCCCGCTTCGAAGGAAGGAAATAAATCTTGCTGCAAATAAATTCCAGAATGTGTACATAAAGAGAACGAAAAGAACGGGTGGGTGGGTGGGTAGCCAGGTTGTATAAACCAAGATGCCAAGACGCAGCGTTTCCCTGTATCTTCCCATCTGTGACATCTGGCAACTGCACGATGAATTATGAATCATGTTCGGTTATATAAACGAATCTTGCATAATCTTGCAAAGAGCAAAAGCTGAAAATGGAATATTTCTGGCTAATATCTCCACTTTCAGGCTCCCTGTACGATCTTCCCAGGTGTTACTCGAAGTCTTCAAAACAAGGTGTGGCTCAAACCTGGCAACCTGAAGATGGGTGGACTTCAACTCCCAGAATTCCCCAGCCAGCCTGCTTTAAGATGGGTGGACTATGACTTCCAGAATCCCCCAGCCAGCATCCTTTAAGATGGATGGACTTCAACTCCCAGAATCCCCCAGCCAGCATGCTTAAAGTAAGTGGACTTCAACTCCCAGAATTCTCCAGCCAGCATGCTTTAAGAGGGATGGGCTTCAATTCCCAGAATCCTCCATCCAGTATGCTTTAAGGTGGGTGGGCTTCAACTCCCAGAATCCCCCAGCCAGCCTGCTTTAAACTAAGTGGACTTCAACTCCCAGAATTCCCCAAATAACATGCTTTGTCTGTGGGAATCTAAGCTTTGTCCACCGTTTCTCAACCTTGGCAACTTTAAGATAGAATTTCTCGGCATGCTGGCTGCAGAACTCCCAGAATTCCAAGCTGCGGAATTCTGGGACTCGGGGTTCGTTCTTCTCAAAATCGCCACGGTTAAGAAACACCGATATAAATTTCCGTCCCAATGCTTTGTGTCTTGGAAAAATTAAAAAGAGGTGGGGGGAAAACTCCTATCCTATAACACCCACCCACCCACACCCACACCCACACAATTTACCTTTCCTTCCGCTTGGTGAGCCTTTCCCCATTCACTCATGACAAAAATATCGTTGACCGACAGGCAAGCGATGATCTCGATCCCTTTTCCCTTCAGCTGCCCTGCTTTCTCCACGTAGCCGGGCAGATGCGTCTGTCATCGGGCACAAAACGAAAAAAACAAAAAAAAATTACAGAAAACTCTTCAACTCAAGACCACAATCCCCCACATTCCTATTGCTAAGGGACAAACATTGGTCAAGTGGGTTTTGCCCCATTTTAGGACCTGACTTGCCCCAGTTGTTATGTGAATCAGTTCAGTTAATCAGGTTAGCAATACGGCTGGTAAACGAATCGGGTTTTTCCCCACTGCCTTGGCTCGTCAGACGGTCGCAGCAAAAGGACACCCCCTGGGAACGCTGCGACCGTCGCAAATACGAGTCAGTTGCCGAGCATCTGATGTGGCCACGGTGGCCAGCGTAAAAACGCCGTCAGTCCCTTGTTTTCAGTGCCGTTGTAACTTGGGACGGTCACTAAACGAAGCGCGGTCCACCACGAGCCAAGTTCTCAAAACTTTGTTTCGGGTAGTTATGGTGCTCGGAGCATTCAGATTCTCAACTCCGTGGCAGGTTGTAAAAATAGGGTCTTACTCACTTGGGAACAACCGGGGGTGAAGGCACCGGGCACCCCAAAAAGAATGCCCTTTTTCCCCTTGAAGAGGCTGGACAGGTTGACTTTGTTCGAAGGGTCTCCCTCGTAGACTTCCACGCTGGGCAGCTTGTCACCAATCTGTCAAAAAAAGAAAACCAGCCTGACTTCATTTCCCAGAATTCCCTAGCCAGAACACCCTGCCTATCGGGTGGCAAATGGGGATCACGTGACACAGGGACACCAATCCTACTTCTGTTCTGTTTACACTCTTTTCCATTTTGCAAGCGGTCCTCCAACTTAACGGCCACCACCGAGCCCCCCCAGTTTGTGTCGCTAAGCGAAACATTTCTTAAGTGTGTTTGGCCCCCATTTTACAATCTATCTTGTTAAGGGAATCCCTGCAAGTTGCTAAGCCAGGGATCAGGGTTGTTTTAAGTGAACCTGGCTTCCCCCACTGACTTTGCTTGTCAGAAAAGAGGGTCACGTGACCCCAGGACAATGCGACCGTCGTAAATAGGAGTCAGTTTCCAAGGGCTTGAATTTGGATCACGTGACCCATGTGGATGCTGCAATGGTCTGTAAGTCTGAAAAACTGGTTACAATTCACTTTTTTTTTTCAGTGCTGTTATAACTTCGGTCACTCAATGGACTGTTGTAAGTTGAGGACTGCCTGTCTTATAGGTTACATTTTGAAATGTGTTCGTTTGTGAGAACCGAATAAGTGTTTTGTATACGGTATTAATATCTAACCAAAGAAACCAAGCTACATTTTGGCTTAGCCAGGCTGAGTGTTCAACATAGGGCAAGTTTTGTAACCCAGCTTGTGCAACAGCCTAGCATTGCATCAAACATATCCAGTATTGCATGCATCTCCTTTATCACTCATTCAGCACGGCCATTTTGGGGGTTCTCGCACCCAGCTGTTGGCACATCGGGAGGCCAATCCCCCCCCAAAGTGTGCAAACTGCGCAATTATTAGTGTCCTTTTGCACTGACCCCCTTGTACAGCGGTGACTTTACAAAGGGGGGGGGCTTTCTAAGCCCAGTTCAAGGTCATTGCAAGGGGGTCCCTGCCCCCAGCTGTTGGCACATCGGGAGGTGAACTCCAGCTCCCCAAGCGTGCAAATTGCACAATTATTAGTGTCCTTTTGCACTGACCCCTTGCATGAGCTGACTTTACAAGGGAGGGGGCTTTCTAAGCCCAGTTCAAGGTCATTGCAAGGGGGGTCCCTGCCTCCAGCTGTTGGCACGTCAGGAGGCGAACCCCCCCTCCCCAAATGTGCAAACTGCACAATTATTACTGTCCTTTTGCACTGACCTCTTACACGGCGGTGACTTTGCAAACGGAGGGCGCTTCCTAACCCCCCTTTGGGGATTCTTGCACCCTCAGCTATTTGCAAATCAGGCCAAACCCACCCTCCCCCCAAAGTGTGCAAATTGCACGATTCGCAACGTCCTTTTGCACGGAGGTTTTTGGGTCTTTTTTGCACTCACCTTAAGGGCCGCCATGGCCGCGGCTCCCGAGGCAAAGGCCCGGCGGGTCGCCCCACAGTTTGCAAGCAGAGAAGACGGCCCGGCTCCCCAACAGGCTCGCCCCAGCGCCCCCGCCCGGTTCCACCCCGTTGCCATGGAAATCCCGGGAGTGACGGCCGCCATGGCAACGCGCAACCTTTTGAAGTTTTTTCGCCCGCTGCGCCGCCCGGCCTTGCTTGGCGCGCGCCCTCGCCCGTGCACGCGCCCCGGGAGTTGGGTGGGAGGGGTTTTTCTTCCCCGTGGGGTGGGGGGAAGGGGAAGAGACGAGAGTAGGAATGCATACATTTTACTTTATTATTGTATTCGTAAACATGATTTTTTTTTTTTTTGCAAAAAGAGAAAAAAATTGGGATTGGATTTAGCTTTGCATCCGTTTGGGAATTGCATTACTCAAGAGAAAACATATAAGTTGCAAGCTTGGTCCTCTTTTAGTTGATTGATTGATTGATTGATTGATTGATTATTATTATTAATAATAATAATAATAATAATAATAATAATAATATAAAGTTGGAAGGGACCTTGGAGGTCATCTAGTTGATTGATTGGTTGATTGATTGGTTGGTTGATTGATTGATTGATTGATAAATGGTTTGGCGTCTTGTCAAATGCCCCCCATTCCCAGCCTTTGGAGGTACAGCCTGGTGTAAGATTGGGCTTGTAGTCCAAGATTGTAAGTGGTCTTTGGTGCTCTCTGAGCTTGACTGCTCTCTTGCAGAGGTTTTGGTGACCCAAACTAGGTAACATCATTAGTGCGCTAATAATAATAGAGCTTCTGGGAGTTGAAGTCCATAAGTGCCCTCCTGTGGTTATGTTGGGCATAGCGGCCAGAAAGGGACTACAAAGACCATCTATAGCACAGGGCATGCCACGAGTGCCCTCCTGTGGTTATTTTGGGCGTAGCGACCTGACAGGGACTACAAAGACCATCTATAGGACAGGGCATGAAAAGGGTGCCCTCCTGTGGTTATTTTCGGCATGGCAGCCTGAAGGGAACTACATAGACCATATATAACAACAGGGCATGAAAAGAGTGCCCTCCTGTGGTTGTTTTTTTGGTATAACAGCCTGAAGGGGAGTACAAAGCATATATAACAACAGGGCATGAAAAGTGCCCTCCTGTGGTTATTTTGGGTATAACAGACTGAAGGGGAGTACAAAGCATATATAACCACAGGAGGGCACTCTTTGCATGCCCTGTGCTATGGTCTTTGTAGTCCCTTTCAGGCTGCTATGCCCAAAATAACCACAGGTGGGCACTCTTTTCATGCCCTGTCCTATAGATGGTCTTTGTACTTCCCTTCAGTGTTAAATGATGTTGTGTGCAGAGGCACTCATGATTAGATTTTCCAAAACAGGACAAGTACTGTATGCTACGTTGGCTTATAAAATTCTCCATGGGTGTAGGTGGATGCATTAAGATTGTTTGGTGGGATATTTATTGTCATTCATTCAGACTAGAAAATGCTGGTGGCTGGTAGAGGGTGAAGGCAAAATTGGACAGGAGGAACTCTGCAGCTGGGCAGAGGCTGGACTAAGTTTAATAGTTGGGAACTCTGGTTTAAAAATGCTAGGTCCTTGCATTCCAGGGGGAAACTGTCTATCTTCACTTGGTTTTGTGGAATTGGAAACATCTCATTTTATGCAAACAACCCCCTGAACCTGATCCATATTTATTACTGGAAAAATAATTAAAAATGCTTTTTGAAGAGTGGTATTGCCTCCCTTTCTGCCTATAGGAATGAGTATGGAACAAGTAAGTTCCACACTCTTTAAGTTCAGCTTATGAATTTGTGCATGTCTGCACTATTTTTGACAGCAATAATGAAGTGGGGCAGATGCCTTAACTTCTCAATTTAGCTTAGAGTCCCGGGCTTGTCTCAGAATTCACCAACCAGCTGAAGAAAGACCCACTTTTATTACTGGCGAAATTACAAAAAAGAAAAAAGAAAAAGAAATCCATGCTGGTTGGGGAATTCTGGGAGTTTCAAAAGTTGCCAAGGTTGGCAATCTCTGCCATACAGCGACAAAAGAAACGGAAGCTTTAGAGGCAGCTTCCTGTTTCCTCCCGCGGGGGACTGCTTTACGCGGCGTACCGCGCTAAACCGGAAGCAGCCTCGGAGCGTCTTTCCCGGAAGTGGAGTTTTTTGGACAGACGTTGCCATGTGACCAAAAAAACCCCACTTCCGGCCTCTCTCCAAGCCACGTGGCCGCAGAGGCCTGTTTTTGGTCGCGGTTCATGTCTTAACAGTAAGTACCCTTTCTGAATTAATTCGTTTTTCTGAACACTGGCTAAATAAACGTTCATACCTGGGGGAATTACCTGTATATAGCCATTCGTGTTAAAATTAAGAATTAAGTCCCACTTGAATAACTGCACCTGCTTTTAATTAAACAGCCAGTTGCATTTAAACATGGAGACCTTGTTGAAGAGCCACTGATGGACTCTGGGGCTCCCTTTTTTTCCCAGGCACCCAGTGGAAAGGTTTTTTAGATAAAAATAAAATGAAATAAACTCCTAGGGTTTTCTTTGCATTTGTTCCAATTTACTGTGCACTTGAATAACTGCACCTGCTTTTAATTAAACAGCCAGTTGCATTTTAATATGGCGACCATCTTGAAGAGCCACTGATGGACTCTGTGGCTCCCTTTTTTTCCAGGCACCCAGTGGGAAGGTTTTTAATAAAATAAAATAAAATAAACTCCTAGGGTTTTCTTTGCATTTGTTCCAATTTACTGTGCACCCTGCTTTTAATTAAACAGTCAGTTGCATTTAAACATGGAGACCTTGTTGAAGAGCCACTGATGGACTCTGGGGCTCCCTTTTTCTTCCAGGCACCCAGTGGAAAAGTTTCTTTAAATAAAATAAAATAAACTCCTAGGGTTTTACTTTGCATTTGTTCCAATTTTCTGTGCACTTGAATAACTGCACCTGCTTTTAGTTAAACAGCCAGTTGCATTCAAATATGGAGACCTTGTTGAAGAGCCACTAAAGGACTCTGTGGCTTCCTTTTTTTTCCAGGCACCCAGTGGAAAGGTGTTGTTTTTTTTTAAATAAAATAAAATAAACTCCTAGGATTTTCTCCTCAGATTGACCGGGCGAGGTGAACCATTGATATGCTGAACCTGCCTGTGCGTGGGCAGAGGCAGAGGAGAGTGCATTGAGACCAGCTCTTACAGCATCTTGAAAGCCTGGTGTTTTCTCTCCCTTCCTTTTATGCCAAGGGTAGCCTAGTTAAATTTCATTCTGATGTGGTCTTGTTTCTTGAGCTGACCTCCCATTTTGCTAACAAACTCTATCTTCCCCAAGGTCAACCTTATGTTGGTCTATTGCCATTTCTCTTTCAAATGGCTGGGATTTTATACTTGATTGGGTTGTCCTCCATGGGGGATGTAAGTGTGCTAAGATACCACATCTTCACACAACGGGCTTGCATGGCTACACAAAGGATGTTGTTTGGAAGCTGTGAATTCCTTGCTCGTAGGACCCGGTCCTTGGGTTGGCTCTGAGGATGCACTGAGGACTTTCTCAGATGTGTGTCTTTCCACTCTGGCTTTCAGTGCCACAATCATAAGATTGGGTAGCTGTGCCCGGAGATCTCCCAAGTGATATTGAAAAATCTGAGGAGGAGAAACGATGAAGAGCTTGGCTAAGGTCTTTGGTGCCTTCAAGGGGGATTCATCTTGATCCTCATGTCATCTTTTTTCATTCACTAATCTTTATTTTGATCACCTCCTTAAGGGAGGTGGGCAAAAGGTTCACAAGAGAAACCCACCTCATGCAGGACCAAGCAAAGGTAGGGAAGTCCATGCATCCCCTTTGGAGTGAATCTCTCTCCCACCAGCTATTTTTTGGGAAAAATCCAAGGCCAGGTCAACTGTGAGTCAGAGTTCTGAAATGTAACATTTGCTCCTTTCTGAAGTACGACTGAAGATTTGCAGGATTTGCAGAAATTGTCTTCTCTAACTCTTGTTTTTTCTTTCCTTCTGACGCCAGATATGGGAAGGAATCGACATAGAGACCATGATGCCCATCCGCTTCCTGACACTGGAACCAGTGGCGGAGTAGCTGCAACCGGGTGGTGGGAGGCTTTGGAGATAGCTGAGCTTGTTTGGGTGGGTAGGAGGGCCACATGTCTCTTGGAGCAACTGCCACGGATCTACGAAGTTCAGACTCATCTGGATCAGCCACATGGATTCCCATCTTGAATTGAAGACCAACCTTCCAGTGTCCAGTAAAAGGACCTCTGCTTTGATGCAATGTTGTAGTGTTTGATATATTTGTGCAGTTGTTATGTGTTTTACTTTTAGCTTCCTGGGCTGTGACCCCAAACACCAAAAGGACCCCCCTGCTCCATGTCATGAGTGTGGGGGGGTGCCCTTATAAGGGGGTGCCCATGGTAAGCTAGCTTTCGGGGCGAATGGTATATATATTACAGGTAGTCCTTGACTTAACGGCCACATTTGAGTCCAGAGCTTCTGTTGCTAAGTGAGGCATTTTGTTAAGTTGGTTTTGCCCAACTTAATGATTTTCCTTGCTACATTTGTTAACTGCAAATGTTGAGTTAGTAACATGGTTCTTAAGCGAATGTCGCTTCCCCATTGACTTCGCTTGTCAGGTCACAAAATGTGATCACCTGAGCCCAGAACACTGCAGCCATCCTAAGTATGAGTCAGTTGTCAAGCTTCTGAACTTTAATCACATGCCATGAGGGTATTGCAATTGTAAGCTACTTCCTTCAGTGCTGTTGTACCTTCAAATAGTCACTAAATGAACTGTTTTAACTCAAGGGCTACCTATACCAGCTTTTATGTAGTAATATATATAGGCATTCTTCTATGTACATATTAGCATTTCGTACAGATAGTTCTATTTACTAAAATATGCTAATATGCACATATATGTGTATGTGTATATATACACACAGAGAGACATAATTTGTCTATTCCTGGAATAAACTAATTATGCCAAGTCTCTGCATGTGTATATATGTATATATACATGCCCCAACGTTTCGCTTCTCTTCCAAGAAGCTTCTTCAGTTCTGACTGAATGGTGGGGAATGGAACGATTTATATTCTTTGCAGTCATCTGG